GATGGATGGAATGCAGTGGACATTGCTCTGTTATTGTATAATTTTATTTTATTTTCATTTTTTATTGTATAATATTGTCTTCCATTCCAAAACTTTCATCAGACTTTCTTAGATGTTTGTCTAAGAATGACCACTGTGGATCACATTAGATAAAAACATCAAATTAACCAATAAATATTTTTTTTTTACTTTTTTATTTTTTGTGAGTGTGGAACCACTTGAAGCCATTAATTCAAAACAAATATTTTTCTGGTAAAATGGAAAATTTCCGGGCAGGGGGGTCGGGGGGTATGTTCACGAAATGCTGTCATGGACACTATCCAAGAGTTTCAAACAGAAAGTAATGTCAGAACTGAAAAAAAAATAGTAGCTTTTGTCGATTCAAGGAAACAATTTATATGGCATAAAGCCAATAGGTGGTGTGGCGTAAGAAGCCACTAAAATGAAATGGAAATCATCCTCTTTCCCAATACTTGCCTCGAATAAATAAATTAAAAAAATAATTACAAGATGTGGCCAAAGAGGGATACGTTTATCATCTTTTGTGTGCGTCCTCAAAGTAAAAGGTATGCTGTGTTGATCAAATGATGAGCTGAAAGCAAATTGAGTAGCCAACCCTGAGCTTTGATGACACAACTGCTGTGAGCATTCTTGTCGCCTGGTTTCACCACTTCAGAGCGAAGCTCGCCGTCCTCTTTGAACCAGAAAGAGACAAAAGGTATGTGCTGCATAAGTGAACTCTGACTGCACATGCAAAGAATGTGTGAAGCTAGTAACTCACAGGCGTTTGTGTAAAGCCAAATAACAAATTGCATTGTTTTCCTTTTTTATTATCATATACTTTGATTTTGTTTGTCATGACTGCAAAAATACAAAATTAAAAAGTTAATGTTGTCTGGAAAATCTAATTCTACCAAATAGGGTTTTATTCATCATCACTTTTTTTCTTTAGTCAATTATTTTCCTCCTCAGTGCCCCGCCCACCTTACACCTGTTCCCTGTTATCATTAGTCTCCCCTGTCACCATTTACCTCATCTGCTCCAGTCTATTTATTCTCTCAGTTCTGACCTTTGGTTTCATGTCCTGTATGGGTYGTATCTGTGGTTTGCAAGTTCTCTTTGTTTACTTTGTAAACTGTACCAGTCTCTAAAATAAGTATTGAACACATCACCATTTTTCTCAGTCCAAAATGAAGTTATTTGTAATAATGTGGAATGACACAGGGAAAAAGTATTGAACACATGAAAAAATTTCTCAGTCCAAAATGAAGTTATTTGTAATAATGTGGAATGACACAGGGAAAAAGTATTGAACACATGAAAAAATTTCTCAGTCCAAAATGAAGTTATTTGTAATAATGTGGAATGACACAGGGAAAAAGTATTGAACACATGAAAAAATTTCTCAGTCCAAAATGAAGTTATTTGTAATAATGTGGAATGACACAGGGAAAAAGTATTGAACACA